TTAATTTATATCACTTATTAAACTATTGTTTCAATCAAATAGTAACTATAAAAAAAAATATTTATTACTATATTATTATTATTAATAAATTGTATAATATTTTTATTTTTAATATTTTTTTGCAATAAATCTTTAATCTTAAAGTTATATAAAAAAATTAAATAAATTTTTTTTTAAAAATTATTTTAATTATTTTTTTTACGTCACAACAGACCAGAGGACCGATCAGATGAAGATCTGGAAGTGATTTACAAAAAGTTGAAAACAATTAAACTGTTTCGTCGTATTCATCCATCAATTGTCCAACAATTGTGTTTTGTCTCCTATGCCGAGCATTTAGATAAAGGAGTTGTCCGTAAGTTATATATTATTATTATTATTAACTAAATTATTATTATATATTAATTATATATTTACCATAAATTTTCTAAAAAATATATATATATAACTAAAAAAGTAATTTTTTTATATATATATATATACCTGTATTTGATGTACAATATTATTATAAAAACAAAACAAACAAACAAAATATATATTATTTAAAAAAAATAAAATTGATATTGATATCAATTGACAGTTATATATATATATATATATTGTATATATTTATTTAGTTTACAAAAAAACAATAGTTTTTTTATTTAGAAACATCAAACAAATAAAATCATTGCAATCATAATAACAAAAATAAATGTTGTTTTTTGTATTGTATTTTATTGTTGGATAAAGTTTTCTATTTCTCTCTCTCTCTCTCTCTCTCTCTCTCTCTCTCTCTCTCTCTCTCTCTCTCTCTCTCTCTCTCTCTCTCTCTCTCTCTCTCTCTCTCTCTAACATATTATACACTGAATAATGTTTTTTTTGTTTAAAAACATATATATATATATATATAACTAAATCTCAAGACATACGATGATTAGTAGTAGTAGTTATAGTAGTTATTGTTGTGTTAGTTGTCTAAGCAATTTGTCATATATATACAGTATATACTGTATACATATATATATATAAAACAAACATTAAATAAACATTTGTCGACTAACACACACAGAAAATAACTAAATAAAAAATAAAACTACATTTACAAGTACTGTATATATATATTTATAATATTATTTTATATCTTATTTTTATTGTAGTATATATCGTACAGTATGTATAAAAGCTAACCAAAAAAAATAATAATAATAATAATAAAACTAAAATAATGACACGACTCGGGTATTGATATTGATTTTATTATTATTATTTTTTGGTGTATATTAGTTGTCTCCTCAATATATATATATATCAGACACAGTATTATATACCGTATATTATATAAAAAACAGTACATAAAAAATACAGTATTAAAACAATACAAATATATAACTTATATATATATTATATATTGAATAACTAAGACATAACTAAGCGATGAGATGACTGTCCAATAATCCTCTTTACTTTATCTCTCTCTCTCTCTCTCTCTATCGACTTATTAGTAAATAATAATATATGTATTTGAATAGTATTTATATATATATATATATATATATATATATATATATATATATATATATACAGAAAATAATAATAAAATATTTATTATGTATGCTTATTATAACAACTTTATATATATATAAGTATATATCTATTATTATTATTTTTTTTGTATAGTAATAGTGACAAATTGATACAAACAAAAACAACATATAATATTATATTAGATAATATAGTATATGTTTTTTATTAATATTAATTTCAGAACATATTTATAAAAAAAAAAAAAAAAAAAATGATAAATAATATTAAATATATAACAAATAAATTTAAATTAACTATTAATTTTTATGAATACTGAAAATGTGCGAAATTTAAGGTTTAAATTTAATTACTTAAAATATTTAAATTAAAAATAAATATAGTTTATAACGATAACAACTATTATATATATATAATACTAAAAATTATTTAATTTTAATTAATCAACAATAAAAAAATTTTAGCTTTTTTCTAATTATATTGTTAAATACTTACAGTAAATACAATTCAAAAGTAGATGTATTTACTAAATAAATGTTTAGTCAAAAGCAATAATTTTTTTGTTAATCATAAGTTGTTTAATACATTGTGTATGTAAGTGTGTGTGTATGTGTGTGTGTATGTGTGTGTGTGTATGTTTGTGTGTATGTGTGTGTATGTGTGTGTATGTGTGTCTGTATGTGTGTGTATGTGTGTGTGTGTGTATGTTTGTGTGTATGTGTGTGTATGTGTGTGTATGTGTGTGTGTATGTGTGTGTATGTGTGTGTATGTATAAATGTGTGTATGTGTGTGTGTGTATGTGTGTGTATGTGTGTGTATGTATATATATATATATATATATATATATATGTGTGTGTGTGTTTGAGAGCCATCGGCTCTTTTAAAAAAAATATATTTAGTTTTATATTTTATTTTCAATTGAATCACATTTGTGAATAAATTTGCATATTTTGCATATCAATTGATGCCCCAAAAAAAAATTTAAGTCATATTCAATGAATATGTGTTAATCTATGTTTACATAGTATGTATACATGAAATATATATATATATATATATATTTATAAATAGTAACTAAATTTTAAGTACATTTTTATTTGACTAATAATATTTTTAAACATATTTTATAACATATATATATATATATATATATATATATATTGAATACAGAATATGTAAAATAAATTTATATATTTTTTTTATTGAATATAACATTTATAAGTATTCAATATTTTTAAAAGTTTATCAAGCATATTTTTTGAATTTATTTTTTGAATTTATTTTTGTTGATAAAAATGCTGAATAAGTATTAAATGTATTGAATTTTTTTTTATAAAGTAAACACTTGTTAATAATAATAATAATAATAATTATATTTACACTTTAATATAAAATTTTTACATTTTTAATTAAAAATATTCAAATTTATTATAGTTTAGTTTGAATATATATATATACATAATTACACCTAAATTATTAATTATGTAAAATAACTTTATATATATATATTTAAATTGTATAAAATTTTTATAAATACCTAATTTATTATGCAAATTATATTTTATTTTTTAAAATAAATTATTTTAAATCTAAAAATATTTTTTATTTTTAAAAAATATATAAAATAAAATAAATATCGATTGCAATGATTCTGAGAAATTATTTTTTTTCGTAAAAATAAAATTATTATTTATTTTATTTTTATCGTTTAGTCATAATTTAGTTTTTTTTAATATTTTATTTGATGCATCAAAACACTTGAGATAAAACATTTTATTTTATTTATTTATTTTTTTAATTTCTACTTTCAATAGAAAAATTTTGTGTAAAGTATGAAAAAATTATCTATAAATATAATAATAATATTTTTGTTGTTATTATTATTATTATTATTAATAAAAAAGGATTAAACAGTTTTTTTTGCTAAATATTAAAATAAAATATTAATAATAAATACCTGTATATTGTAGATAATAGCAAACAAAAAATAATTTTATTATTAATTTTTATTATTAAATTTTATGACAAAAAAATAGACAAACAAAATATAAGTGTGAAAAATACAAAAACAAAAATAAGTTAAAATTATGAATATTTAGTAAAAAAATTTTTAAGTAATTTATTATTAATATTATGCAATTGAAATTTATATACTTATATAGTATCATATATTTCTATATATTTAGATTAAATATTTTAAAATTTAATAAGTATTCATAAATAAACTAAAATAATAACAAAAAAAAAATAAATATATATTAATCAGAAAATTCTATAAATATTTAATATTTTTTTAAAGTTTAAGTTATATATATATTAACATATCTTATACACGATATATATATATATATATGTATTGCTATACAGTTTGTAACACAAGAATATTCTGTGATATAATAATTAATATATTTTTTTTGTTGAAAAAAAATCAACAAAAAAATTATTGAATTATTTAATTATTATATATATATGTATATATTATCTAATTATAAATAATTTTAATTATTTATATTTTTTTGATAGCTCATTATTTCGGGTAAAATAAAAAAATATGATACTAATTGATAGCTTATTATATTTATATATATACTGTATATATATATATTTATATCTATATATATATATCTATGTATTTACAGTCTATAAGGAAGGGGATGAAGCACTCAACTGGTATGCCGTTATCTATGGCTCGCTTGATGTCCAGGTGTCACATACAGGAGCCAAACGCAAGGTAAGCAACTATTGATTTATATTATATATATATATATATATATATATCTAAACAATTATATACAATATTATATATAATTATCTAACCAGTGATATGTTATGTCAAATATTATTATTATTATTATTATTTGTTAACACATAAGTGGTTTATGTTTTATTTGTTGTCTATATATATATAATTGTTATAATTATTAGTAATATTTATATATGTTTTAGAAATATAAAGTGTTAATTGAAAGTTAAAAACGATATTTTATTTTTTAAAGTTATTTATTTTTATTTATTTTTTATTAAAAAAAAGTAGTATATTTACATATATACTTAATATCATATAATAATAATAATAAAATCTCATAATTGTTAGATATTTTTTTCAAATAATAACTAATAATGTATTAAAATATTTTTTTTGACTTATTATTAATAAATTTATTTTGAATAACCAATTATAACAATAATTTTTTTTTAAAAAACTAAAAATCTAATCACATTTTAGTCAATTATATAATTTACTGGTCATTACATATTAGTTTTAACATGTATTTGAATTTTTTTTATTTTTTTGTTGACAAAACCAAACTAAAAGTTAATTTATTTTTTGAATTAATTTTATTTATTCATTTGAAATAAATTAAATGACTGTTTAATTGCTAAATCGTGTCAATTGTTTTTTTTTAAATAAAAAAAACAGTTTCACATGTTTTCAATGTTAATAAAATACATTTGATTTTGAATTTCAATTTATATATAATATATCAAAAATAACTTATAAATATAAATATATATTTTTAAATAATAATATTATTATTTTAATTGAAACGGTAATATAAATGGATATTATTATTATTATTATTATTATTATTATTATTATTATTATTATTATTAGTAGTAGTAGTAGTAGTAGTAGTAGTAGTAGTAGTATTAATGTAGTTATTTATATTTATAAGTAATATATATATATATATATATGAATTTTTCCACTAAAATAAACATTTTTTAAAGGTATAAAAATATTATTATTTTTCTACATAATCAATAGTACTCTATGTTTTCAACAACAAAAAAATATAATAAATAAATAAATAAATAAAGGGATCAACACTTTTGTTTAGATTATATATATATTAAAGTAAATACAGTAATATATGTTTCATAAAAAATAGCACAATATATATATATATATATATATATATATATATATATATATATATACTGTATTAGCAAATAAAACTCATATTTTCTTTGAAAATATTTTTATTATTATTATTATCTATAACAACAACAATAATAATAAACAAAATATTAAATGTTTGCTTAAAAGATAAATAAATAAAAAAATTTTAAGAATTAATATATTATAATATAATATTTTTTTTGATACTTAGATTTTAAAATAATATTACAGTAAAAAATTACTAAATAATATGATTTACATTAATATTCAAAAATTATTTAGTTTTTTAATCAATAATAGATTTAATTTGTATTAAAAATTTTTAAAAAATATTATAAAATATTAAAATTGAATTATATATTTCAATATTTATCAAAAAAAAAATGATAGATATTTTCTATATATATATATACTGTATATTATTTATAGATATTATATTAACATAATATACATAATATACTAAAACAGGAAAATATAAATTATTTTATTATTATTATGTAATGAATATTCTATACCTATATATTATAAATAGTATATTATAAAAACAAAATTATATTAAATTTAATATATAAATTATATACTGTAAATATATGTATATATATCGTAATATATTTATAATATATACTAATATATTACTACATATAATATTACTTTATTATCAAATGTAATAATAATAATAATAACATACAATTTATCACTAATAATAATAATAATAAATATGATGTTTGCGACAGTTTAGGTGACATATGAAAAATATCATTATTATAGCTAATTTTTTTATCATATATTTATATATATATATATAAATGTGTTATAAAAAAATCAAAAACATTTATTTTTTAAGTATAAAATATGTGACACAAACACACAAAATTTGAATCAAATTATATACAATATATATACTATATATATATAATATATATTTATATTATATATAAAGTTTTATTAAAAACATTTATCCTCCGGTTAAATAAGTCATTAAAAATTATTTTAGTGTTGTATAAAAAATATTTAAATTAATACATTTATATATACATATATATATATATATTAAAAATAGCTTATAAATATTAATGTTAATATATTTTTTTAAATTTTAATTGAAACGGTAATATAAATGAATATTACTATTACTATTAGTAGTAGTAGTAGTAGTAGTAGTAGTAGTATTAATGTAGTTATTTATATTTATAAGTAATATATATATATATATATATATATATATATATTTGTTTCCTAATATTTCTATATATATATAGTTAATGGAAATATATTAAATGTATTTTTTTTTTAATTTTCAATTATAAAGTATTACTGTTTTTATTTTCATGTCTAAATATTATCTAAATATTATTTAGATATATGTTAATTAACAACAACAAAATATATAATTATTATTTGAAATTATAAATAAAAAAAAGTATAATTATTATTAAACAAAATAAATAATTGCATACTTAATATACATGTATTTAAAAAAGTGTATGTAATAAATGTTTTTTTATTAATTTTTATTATAATAATTATCATTATTATTATAATCATACACTTTATATTATTATACATATATTTTTTTAACACTTGAATATATTAATTATAATATTATTTTTTTAAATAAAAATTGTATAATATTTTATGCCTCCCATTGAATATCAAGATCATTGTCTATATATATATATATGTTTTTTTTTATAAAAAAAGTAGTTTATTATAATAATTATTAAACAAACAAAAAAAATCAAAAATAATTGACTCATACTATACATGTGCTGTCTATCTCATGGCTATTAATTGTTATTACAGTATATATATATACATAAAAAATAGTAATTAAATGAATATAAAAAGTTATCTCTCATTAAAATCAATTGTGAATATAAGCAGATGTTTTGAAAGTGAGAAATAAAGAGAGAGAGAGAGAGAGAGAGAGTTAATGAAACAAAAAAATTTTTTTATTGCCAACAAATGTTTTATATTTGAAATATACAGACAAACAAAATAAAACATATTTTTTTAAATGTATATAATAGATGTGAGATACGGGTCTCCAATAATACTAATAATAATTATTATTATTATTATCCAAACCTAAAAAAATTAATTTATTATAGAAACAAATAATAATAATAATAATGCAAATTATTTTAGTATTATTATATATATTAAAGTTTTTTTTTCAACGATTGTTTGTTGAAAATTTTGAATTTAATAATAAATCCTAACATATAATTAGCCAATTAAACAAAAATCAATTTTTTTTTCAAAAAAACTTATTTATTGTGATTTATTTATAGGTTTTTATTTTGTTGTTGATATCTATTATCATATATTTTTTGTTAAATTTGTTTTTTAGTAGTAATAATTATGTGCTATATTTTTTACACATATAAAAAATAATTATAATTAGATAGTGATTACAGTATTTAATATATATATATATATAAACATTAGACATATGTTTTTATTTATTTATTTATTTATATAAAATTATACACATTTTTCTTAATTTATAAATATTATATATATATATATTTAATTTATATTATTGTGTCATAATTTTTTTTCATTAATAATTGATATTAAACACAAATCACCGCTGAATAAACAATATATATATATATATAATTAGGTTTTAATTTAAATTTTTTATTTTCATTTATTTGTTTAAATTTATATACACATATATATATATATATATCAATTTAATATTCAATTTACATTGTTATCAATGTGTTTGTGTGAGTGTCTAATAATAATATGTGTGGGTATTAATGACATTATATGATATGAAACAAATATCATATAATATAAATTTTATTTGATTTGTATTTTTTTTATTATTATAAATACTATTAATACATAAATATCTGTGTATTATAACGACCTTTATATTTATATATATATATATATATATATATATATATATATATATATATCAATTCAAAACTGATTTGTAATAATGATATGGATATTGTTGTTGTTGTGTGTAATATATATTTATATATAATATCAATAAATATATTTTTTTGTTATTTAAAATATATAATAAATATTTATTATTTATTTGTATATTTATAAGTGTTATACAAATTTTCATATAAATAATATAATAATAAGTGTGTTGACGTTGTTATTATTATTTAAAAAGTTTAATAATAATTAAAAAAAATTTGTTTATCATATGTATTACTATTATATTATAATTTTTTTTTAATTTCAAAAATATTAATAATCTTTTTTATTGCTATTTTTTGTGTGTGAAATAGTCAACAAATTTATGACAAAAAAATATGTTGTTTTTGTTATATAATTAATCAATTTATTGATTATTTTTTTTTTAAATACTTTTAGTTTATATACAAATTAAAATCCATTGTATACTAATAATAAAAATAATATGTGAAAAATGTGATATAAATATTAAGCATTTAATTAGTATATAATTATATGTTTAAAAATTTAAATAATTATTTGTTTAAATTGTAATAAATATTAATTTTCAATTGGATTATTAGTATACAGTATTTTTATGCAATTAATTAATTACTAATAATTAATTAATATTGTGATTTAAAATCAATAATAATAATAACAACAACAAAATATTTGTTTAATTATTTTTTAATAAATGTTTTTATTAAAAACATATTATTTATTGGATATAATGTGAAAAATATATATTACATTATTATTAACAGTTGAATAAATAAATTTAATTACATTTTTTTTATTTGATTGATTAAATTTAATATTAATAATAATAATAATTATAATTTTGTGTCACTATTTTACATACACAGTGTTAATAATATACATATTATATTATTAGTAAACATGTATATAGTGTTATATTAATTATATATAATAATAATAATGTTATGCAATATATTAAATATTAAATACATACCCATATATAATATATATATATATATATACTATACATGTATGTATATAATGATTGCATACCACATAATGTCAAAAATAAAACTGGGCTCTCAAAAAAAATTTGAGATATTTTTATAGTCAATTAATTTAATTAAATGTGATTTTTTTTGTGTGGATATTATTATTATTTTATATATTTATATTATATTACATAACACACAAAAAAATCAATGTTTAATAGACGCCGTATTTATATAATTACAAATAAGGTTATTTGAAAATAATTTAATTTAATTTAATTAATTAATAATTGTTTTAGTATATAAATATTATTAATATGTTTATTATTTGATTAATAATTTAAAAATTTATTCAATTTTGTGGATCAAATATATATATTTTTTTCATAAAATATGAAATTTATTTTCTAACAATAATAATAATAATTAGGATTTTTTTATGATTTGAATTAATTGTTTTGTTAAACTATTTAATATATGTTTTGGAAAATATTTAATATATGTTTGGAAAATATTTTAGTTATTTTTCCCAAATAAATATTTACAATATTTAACATTTTTTTAATAACCCCCTCAACTAATTATTATCAAATTTATTATTTTATATTTTATTTGATGACATATTTATCTCATAAATAACTTTATATGACAAATAAAAAAATAGTATTAAATATTGACAATCATATAAATATCATATATATATATATATCACATATAATATTATCAGTGGATATATAAAAAAATTTTAAGTATTAAAATCCTAATGTAAATAAATTTTTACGATATCTTATTATTGATATTAAAATACAATAATATTTTTTTATTACATTATTATATCGATATATTAAAGTTATATCAATTTATTAAAGTTATATACTATATATAAATTATATATATATAATATGTTATTATTTATTTATAAAATTAAATTATTTACAATATATTATATTTGGATAAATGATTTTAATTTAAATGCCTATTTTAATTTTATTTTATTTTTTTAATTTAACGCATCATTTAATTTTGTTTGTGAAAACTTTTTGAAAAATATTTTTGTTATATAAATTACAATTTAATGCAAATTTCAAGTTTAAAAACTAAAATAATAATAATATAAATTAAGGATAAAAATAAAAGTTTATATAACAACTACTATATACTAATAATTCACTAATAATTGTATCTTATATTGTATTGAAAATATCTAATAAACTTAATAAACACATAGATATACTGTATATAAAATTACTTTTATTTTTTTTTAGAAAACAAATACTTAAAATTACTTAACATTTAATTAATTTTGAAATAAAAATAAAGTCCAGATTAGCTATAATTTTATTTTTAATTGATTAAAAGTTTTTACTATATATATATATATATATCGATATAAATTAAAATATCATTAAAATCAGATTTTATTTAATCAATTATATTTTATTAAATTTAAAAAAATAAATAATTTATTTAAGTTAAATTTTTTTCCAAACAAAAATATCTCCCATAAAAAATTATCATAATTTATATATATAAAAAAAATTAATGTTATTTTTTTTTGAAATAATTAGCTAATATTTTTCTAATTATATTGTTGTCTCAAAAAGATATTTTTGTTAGTGAAATAATTTTCTGAAAATTACTGAAAATTATTATTATTATTTTTATATATATATATACTGTATATTGCAATTAATTTTATAATTAGAAAAAATTTTATTATTATTAAAACCACAAAATGTTTTTAATTATTATTATTATTATTATTATTATTATTATTATTATAGGACGTGGAGACAGTATGTACATTAGGTGTGGGCACCGCATTTGGAGAGTCAGGTTAGTTAATGTTTTATTTTATTAACTGATTTTTTTTAATAATAATAATAATAATTTAATTAAATTAAATAATAATAGTAGAAAAATTTCTATATATTATTAGATTTTACTTGAATATGAATTTATTATTTACATTATATTTTTTTGTTGTATAGTTTCAATAGTTTATGTGATTAGTATGTTAATTATTTATAGATACATGTATATATATATATATATATATATATATATATATATACAGTACATACAGAATATTCTTAATAAATAAATATTTTATTTTATTTTTGATTTATTACATATACAGTATCTAATAAATCTACAATTTATTTATTTATTTGTATGCAATTGCAATATAAATATATATATACATAGTATATATATACAGTATATATATACAGTATATATATACAGTATATATACAGTATATAAATATAAGATTTATCAATATTATACCCCCAAAAAATAATATTTTATATATTTTTTTATTAATTATATATAACTACTACTACTACTACTACCACTACTACTACTACTACTACTACTACTACTGCTACTACTACTACTACTACTACTACTACTACTACTACTACTACTACTACTACTACTACTACTACTACTACTACTACTACTACTACTACTACTACTACTACTACTACTACTACTACTACAACAACAACAACAACAACAACAACAACAACAACAACAACAACAACAACAACAACAACAACAACCACTACTACTACTACTACTACTACTACTACTACTACTACTACTACTACTACAACAACAACAACAACAACAACAACAACAACAACAACAACAACAACAACAACAACAACAACAACAACAACAACAACAACAACAACCACTACTACTACTACTACTACTACTACTACTACTACTACTACTACTTAGTTTTAGGTGACGGCTGTCATTCCCATTCAATCATAACCCAAGAGCCGTGCACACTGTTAAGGGTCAGGCGTACCGACTTTCAGGACCTGTGGTCACATAAGTCACATTTGATGCAAGAAATTGTGGCCAATTGTTACGATACTAAAGCTAAACTACATGGTAATGGTGGTGGTACTACTTGTGCCGGTAGTAGTGGCGGTGGTAGTGGCAGTGATGGTGGTGGTGGTGGTGGTGGTGGTGGAGGACAGTTAGCCACCGATACCAGGCTCAGACAGTCGTCAATTGATTCATTAAGTCATATATCAAACAATCATAACATCAGAACCAATGGTAACGGTATTAATCAATTGGTCGATAGCTATACTACCTGTTTATCATCGCTTATTAATACGGAAATACCTGAAAATGTAAGTTA